GGGGGGGGGGGGGGGGGCTTCATATCGTATTCTAGAAATGCTACTCCTAGTAGACAGTTGAGAAATAAATGAGAAAAGAGAAGCTTCCTTCCAATTAAAAAGTAGTTAGACCTAATAACAAATATCGTTGACTTTGAATATAAATGAGATCATTATAAAAGAAACGCTATTTCTTGAATAAAGATTCTAAAGATTCGAGAAAACTCTACCCTCCACCCTCCTGGTGTGCAATTTCGACAAAGTTCCCTCATTTCTGATTTTTATTTTCTTTTATACTTATAAATAAAGACTATAAATAATAATCCTATAATATTTGTTTTTTCAACGTTGCTTCATCGTTTTAGATGTCAAAGCCTTTACCTCTTCTTCTACAATGGCTGTCCTTATTCCTAATAGTCTCTCAACTCTTCTATGCTTCTCAAGCTGATTTAGGAACAGCAAGCCAGTATAGCCCACCATACACACGTAAGTTATTATCTTCCAGTTCCTACAAAAAAAGATATGTCAAAATGCTAAAATCTCTTGTTTTACCTCTCATAGCATATTGCACAATTAGAAATTGCGTGATCTGGAGGTCATGTGTTCGAGTCGTGAGAACAGTTCCATGCAGGAATACAAAATAAGGCTACGTACGTATAATTGACTAAATGTGGTCAACACTTGGTGCACTACGCTGCCAATTTTTTTTATAGCTTATTTTTATTTCAGATCATGAATATTTCTCCACCAATTTTCTCAAACAGCCAGTGCATGTTTTGGGAGTGATTCAACTCATTCCCTTCAAGCAACTTCTTTGCAGCAGCTGGTGAAGGGATTTGGGACGATGGAGCTGCTTGTGGAAGACAGTATTTGATTAGTTGCATTAGCTCAATTTTGCCCAGAGCTTGTAAATCAGGAGAGACTATTCAGATCAAGATTGTTGACCGGGCACAAACTGTAGCTTCTAAGCCTACAAGACAAGGAACTACCACAGGCCTTTCTAGTGGTGCTTTTGCTGCAATTGCTGATTCAAATGCCCTTTCTCTTAATATCGATTTTCAACAGTAAGCAATTCTTCCTATATCAGTTTATTCTACGAGTAACTTTTTTCGAGAATTCCTTTTTTTTTTCAAAAAGAATTTTTATTTTTGAAAAATTGATGCATATAGAAACGAGTTTCACATTAATAGCGGTCACTATACGAGGTAAGCCATGACCGTGACTTAAGGTCCGATCCCTTATACACTTCGGCCATCACTATGGTTTCGACCTTCTAGGTATCTGGTATAAAAAGGCAGCTTGGTGTGCTAAGCTTGAATAGGTCAAAATCCGACCATAAGATGGTTATTCTTAAAAGGAACGATAAGGGGTCGACCAAGTCGTAGTCATGCCCACGGGGCCTGATAGCAAAGAACACCTCGGCCATTGCCGGGGTCGAACCATCAGAAAGCTTAGATCGCAGGACAGGTGTAATGTGTGGGCAAGTAATGAAGGGTACAGTCATGAGAAAGTACGCCGGTTAAAGACCATTGGACAAAAGGGAAAGTGGTCAGTATATATAGAGAGGGGAAGGTCACCAAGGGATCATCGAAGTCCAGACCTAGCTACAACATTTTACAATCATTATCATGGAACCAACGAAGAGAGATCTCTGAGTCATCAATAGCTTTCTCTCTTCACTTCTGTGCTCTTACGAGTATGGTGCATGCCTATATTAGATGTAAGCTCATCATTCACATTTGATGTATGATAATCATCTTAAGAAATGTTACATAATCTTGTTCTTCTTCGACTTTTGTATTCAATATATTTGGATCTAAATTTAATTATGTTTGGTTAAGATTTAGCTTTTATCTCACTGTTAATTGGTTTAGCTAAAAGGTTTAACACTTCTTTAGTCAAACAATTTGGCGCCAATAGTGGGGATTTCTTATCCAAATTCTTTAGTTTTCTTTAGATCTAGAACCAGCCAAGTATCACTTCCGGTCTGCTACAACCTCACCATCTTGGTGACAACACAAACTAAAAAAAAATGATGATAGATAAGTTCTTAGCACAACTTTATCGATCCAGGTCATATCCCTAAACAAAATAAAAATTATGACCGACGTCTATATGAGACCCATGCCCCGCCCGTGACGGCGGGTTCAGCAAATCATATGCGTGGGCGAAATGGGATCACGATCACTATGTGCTTGGCATGTCCTCGGTGCCATGCGATATATCCACCTTGTGCACCAACCTGTACCTTCACCCCTTGGCTAGGGACGATAACCCACTACACGACCCTTTGGGAGATTAGGCATATCCCACATTATTTTCGTAACGCGTACACTAGATAAGTTATAAATAAAGCATGACATGTTTTCCCTATTGATTACGCATATCGGACTGGGACTCGGTCTCGGCGTCTCTACAGGTGAGGTAAGCCCAACTCACGAGAAGATTGGACGCAGCTGAACGGCGAAGCGAAAGCGTGGCTGCAAAATAAGAAACCACTGTTCGAGTACTAGGCGGAGCAAGTAACCCTATGACGATGTTCCTCCTTTCACCAACCTTTTAGACCGAGGTAACAGACAATTTCATTTGGGTCTATCTTTACTCTTTTGATTGGTTCGATATAGGAATGCAAGCATTCGCATAAGTATACGAGCGAGGGACTAATGCCTCCTAAACACCTGGGAAGCGCACAATATTCTCCAATGAAAGCCAAATAAAGAAAACTGGGACTCACCCAGGAAATACATAGTATTCTTCAGTGAAATCCAAATTAAGCAAACTGGGACTCGCCCAGGGAACACCCAGTATCCTCCAATAAAATTACGACCGAGCACACCGGTGCTTACCCCGACGCACGCGTAAACAGTACGTCTACGTGCAACGCTCTTCAAAAAGAAACATACATAATAATGATGGTACAACGGGTTACTATTTCGATCTTGCTCGAAATAACACCCCTACGACCAAAGGCCATCGCCAAAAAGGAAGAGTTCGACCTCACTTGAATTACAACGGGTTACTATTTTGATCTTGCTCGAAATAATACCCCTATAACCAAAGGCCGTCGCCAAAAAGGAAGAGTTCGACCTCGCTCGAATTACAACGGGTTGCTATTTCGATCTTGCTCGAAATAACACCCCTATGGCCAAAGGCCATCGCCAAAAAGGAAAAGTTCGACCTCTCTCGAATTACAACGGGTTACTATTTTGATCTTGCTCAAAATAACACCCCCATGGCCAAAGGCCATCGCCAAAAAGGAAGAGCTCGACCTTGCTCGAATTACAACGGGTTACTATTTTGATCATGCTCAAAATAACACCCCTATGGCCAAAGGCCATCGCCAAAAAGGAAGAGCTCGACCTTGCTCGAATTACAACGGGTTACTATTTTGATCATGCTCAAAATAACACCCCTATGGCCAAAGGCCATCGCCAAAAAAGAAGAGTTTGACCTCGCTCGAATTACAATGGGTTACTATTTCGATCTTGCTCGAAATAACACCCCCATGCCCAAAGGCCATCGCCAAAAAGGAAGAGTTCGACCTCGCTAGAATTACAACGGCTTACTATTTCGATATTGCTCGAAATAACACCCATATGGACAAAGTCCATCGCCAAAAAGGAAGAGTTCGACCTTACTCGAATTACAACGGGTTACTATTTCGATCTTGCTCGAAATAACACCCCTATGGCCAAAGGCCATTTCCAAAAAGGAAGAGTTCGACCTCGCTCGAATTACAACGGGTTACTATTTCGATCTTGCTCGAAATAACACCCTTACGGCCAAAGGCCATCGCCAAAAAGGAAGAGTTCGACCTCGCTCAAATTACAACAGGTTACCATTTCGATCTTGCTCGAAATAACACCCCTATGACCAAAGACCGTCACCAAAAGGAAGAGTTCGACCTCGCTCGAATTACAACGGGTTGCTATTTCAATCTTGCTCGAAATAACACCCCTATGGCCAAAGGCCATCGCCAAAAAGGAAGAGTTCGACCTCTCTCGAATTACAACGGGTTACTATTTTGATCTTGCTCAAAATAACACCCTCATGGCCAAAGGCCATCGCCAAAAAGGAAGAGCTCGACCTCGCTCGAATTACAACGGGTTACTATTTCGATCTTGCTCAAAATAACACCCCTATGGCCAAAGGCCATCACCAAAAAGGAAGAGTT